GAAGGATGTGGACATACAGAGGACGAGAGTAGAGCGTCAAGTTGTCCACGAGCACAGAGGCATTTGGGTAGTAGAGTTAAGTTGTTTGAGATGTCAGGAGTTGACATGTTTCACAGAAAACGTAGAGTAGAGATAATGAAGAAGAGTAGTAGCCGAGAAAATGAAAGGAGAAGAGACAGTATGTGTGGAGAGATGCCTACGAGCACTCTGGGAGAGGCAAAGCGACATGTATGGTCGAGTGCTGTTGGATGTAATACAGTGCCCGAGGAAACTTTTAGGGAACGAAGAAGAGTCGAAGGAGAAGAAATGGAGTTGTATAGAGGTAAAAAGTGTGGGAAGAGGATGATGATGCAAGCATGGAGGAATAGAGGAAAGCCGAGGACTCGATGGAGGTCAAACAAGACGATGTCTTGGACAAATGAGGAGACGAAAGGCAGGATAGTCGGTGAAGACGAGGGAGTGAAGTATGATGACAGGAGACGAAAGTATAACGGCAGTAGATGGAAGTATGAAGACGACAGAGGAGATACAGACAGTAGATGTCTGACTCTGGACGGGAAGAGAAGAAGACGAGGAAACGGAGGGTGGAGACAGTAAGTAGAGTGGACCAATGGATTGCAGGCGTCCAAGGAGGACAGCCTAGCCAAGAGGTGCCAGAGAAGTCAAATCGTTTATGAGAAGATCGTGTTTCTGGAGAGTTGTGAGCCAGATGTTGCAAGGTGCAACGAATTCATTGTAGACTCCTATGGGGTGAAGAACGAGACAGTGTGGTGGCGGATGTATTATCCCGAGCTTTGCCACTGGAATAACTCTCAAAAATAAGGGGAGGGGAGTGTTATGATCTCAGCCTGCAGGAGAAACGAGTCTCCCTTCTTGAGAGTTATTCAGCAAGCCTGACCTAACTAGAAGGTCTAGCAAGTATTGAGGTGATAGCGCATATGTAAAATAGTTGGTTGGATATGTGTAACAGTTTGAGATTATGGGCAATGCAGAAGAAAATAGATAAATGATGGGCTAGGAGATGTGGACATTTTGCTGGAGGCGTGAGGCTCGCTTCCGGAGGACCTTGACCTCACTTGAGTGCCAGACATCGCAGGGGGAAGCCGCGCTCCGTTTGAGCTCCCGCCAGAAGGGAACCCCTAGTGATATATCTCGAAGAGAAGAGAAGTGTGCGGACGTACCAGCTGTGGAATCGAGCTGGGAACGTTGTGGTCTCAAGTCTTGGTCGACGAGCAGATATTAAATCGCCCAGAAGCATTATTGTGGGCTGTGTGGAGCGCCCTGACCAGACGCCGTCAGAGGGAAAGCGCCCTCGACCAATTAATCTGTGGTAAGCACGATAAACGCCAGTTCATAGTGATTGCTTGTAGTTGGTCGTGTGCCCAGCGACAGTAGCGATGTTTATTTATAAGTTAGACATATTTTAATAAGGCAGAAAGCCTGAAATAAGAGAGTGGAGAGGGAGGAACACGGAGCGACGTCCGTCCCCTCTGAGCGCTGGCGGACGACTGAGGGAGCCTGGCTCCGGATGGAGGAAGACCCTCCCAGCGAGTGAGGACCGCCGCCAGGCGAGGTGGAGTATGGACCCGCCCAAAACGGGGGAGTCCACTCTCACTGTATGTAGAGGACAGATAGAGGTTTGAGGCAAGCATATTGTGTGGTTATTTTTGTTTATGTGTCAAAGGGGAAACATTTTATTGGAACGTCGATGGGTTGCAGGTTTGTCTTTGGGGAAGAAGTTGCTGAGAACTTCGAAGCCAGCAGATGAAGTAGCTGATGAGACTCCAAGGTAGTGGAGCAGAGGACCTCGAGCTGTGAGGAGAAGCAGCAGTGAAGAGGAGTGTCACGTGCTTCTGTAGAGGTGGTGTAGCAGCCAAGAGAGCTGTGGAGGAACATAACAGAAGGGTGAAGCACCGTAGTTGCACAAGGAAACTTCATGATAGCAGCCTGGAGGAGCTGCAGAGGATCCTGGTAGTGAAGCCCGGAAGAACCTAAAGATATTAGGGTAGTGAACTTCCAGAGGTGGAAGGGGAAGTTCTGGTGGATTACTTATAGGGAGTTGATAGTGTTTGGTTGTCATTAGCGTGCAAGACGCAGTGAGAGGTGAGTGAATGTTTGCATTCTTATGTCAAGGAGTGATTTATTCTGAAGCTTAGAGTTGCAGTCGTAGGCTTGATTACCTACAGATATATGTGCTCGAGGACTGACAGTGATCGATTAATCATTGTTGTGTATCAATGAACATTTATACTGATATATGTTATTGCATTCAAATGCTCACTCTGCCGACCTCGACGACGACAACACCAACCAACCCACAGTCTATAATATACTCACCATCATCATCACTACCTCACTACTCAATATCATAATCACTACTCACCATCACTACCACATTACTTACCATCATCATCCCTACCACACAACTCTCCATCACTACCACACTCCTCACCATCAGTACCACACAACTCACCATCATCATCACTACCACACCTACTCACCATCATCACTACCACACTGCTCACCATCATCACTACCACACTACTCACTATCATCACTACCACAATACTCACCATCATCATCACTACCACACTATACACCAACAGCATCACTACCACACTGCTCACCATTGCTTTCACTGCCAGACTACTCACCTTCATCGCCAATACCACATTACTCACGATCATCATCGCTTCGCTCACCATCACTACCCCACTGCTCACCATCACTACCCCACTGCTCACCAGCACCACCACACTACTCACCTTCATCGTCAATACCACACTACTCACGATCATCGCTTCGTCACTACTCACCAACATCATCACTACAACACTTCTCACCATCATCATCACTACCACACTACTCACCATCATCATCACTACCACACTACTCACCATCATCATCACTACCACACTACTCACCATCATTATCACTACCACACTACTCACCAACATTATCACTACCACACTACTCACCAATATCATCACTGCCACTCTACTCACCATCATCACAACTACCTCACTACTCACCATCATCATCACTACAACACTACTCACCAACATTATCACTACCACACTACTCAGCAACATCATCACTACAACACTTCTCACCATCACTACCACTTTACTCACCATCATCACAAGTACAACACTACTCACCAACATTATCACTACCACACTACTCAGCAACATCATCACTACAACACTTCTCACCATCACTACCACTTTACTCACCATCATCACAAGTACCACACTACTCACCGTCATCATCACTGCCACTCTACTCACTATCATCACAACTACCACACTACTCACTATCATTACTACCACACTACTCACCAACATCATCAATATCACGCAACTCACTATCATCATCACTACCACACTACTCACCATCATCATCACTACAGCACTACTCACAATCATCACTACCACACTATTCACCATGAACGTTACATCCACAGTATTCACCATCACGACTGCAGTCCTCACCATCACTTCCACACTACTCACTCTCACTACCACACTACTCACCAACATCATCACTACCACACTACTCACTAACTTCATCACTACCACACTACTCACTATTATCATCACTACTCACCATCACTACCACACTACTCACTATCATCATCACTACCACACTACTCACTATCATCATCACTACCACACTACTCACTAACATCATCACTACCACACTACTCACTAACATCATCACTACCACACTACTCACTAACATCATCACTACCTAACTACTCACTAACATCATCACTACCTTACTACTCACCATCATCATCACTACCTCACTACTCAATATCATTATCACTACCACATTTCTTACAATCATCATCACTACCCCACTACTCACACTCACCAACATCATCCCTACCACACTACTCACCATCACAACCTCCCTACCCATCATCATCATCACTACGACACTATTCACTATCACTACCACACTACTCAACATCACTACCACACTACTCAACATCACTACCACACTACTCATCATCATCACTACCCCACACATACTACCACACTACTCATCACATCACCACACTACTCATCATCACTCACTACTCACCACTACTCACACACTCACTACCATCACTACTCACCATCACTACCACACTACTCACCATCACTACCACACTACTCACCATCACTACCACACTACTCACCATCACTACCACACTACTCACCATCACTACCACACTACTCACCATTACTACCTGACTACTCATCATCACTACCACACTACTCACCATTACTACCACACTACTCAATATCACTACCTCACTACTCACCATTACTACCTCGCTACTCACCATCACTACCACACTACTCACTATTAATACCACACTGCTCACCATTATTACCTCACTACTCACCATTACTACCACACTATTCACTCGCTACCTCACTATCACTACTCACCATCACTACCACACTACTCACTATTAATACCACACTGCTCACCATTATTACCTCACTACTCACCATTACTACCACACTATTCACTATCACTACCACACTATTCACTACCACACTATTCACTATCACTAACACTACTCACCATCATTGCCACACTACTCACCATCATTGCCACACTACTCACTATCACTACCGCACTACTCACCATCATTACCACACTTCTCACTATCACTACCACACTACTCACTATCACTACTAACCATCATTACCACACTACTCACTATCACTACCACGTTACTCACCATCGTCATCATTACCACACTACTTCACAGTTGCCGTCAAACTGCACTTGACAACTTGAGGATAAAGTCCTGTCAATGATGTGTACGGTGTTGGTAAGACAAGTTGACGGGTGATCAAAATGGTGTGACGACCATGAGCATTTTCCTTTGCCTGCCTCTCTGGCCAGCCCTGGTGATCCTCTTGACTATATTGTCTGGCATCTAGGATATTAACACCTGCTGGACTAGCTGGACATCTAGGACTGGAGCAGGGAACATGGAGCGTCTTGGGGCTCACGACGTGGCGCAGCTCCTGAGGAACGAGATAAAAACTCTGGGGTCTGGCGGCTACGGTACAGTGACCCTTGTTAACTGGCACGGAGAGCAGGCCGCACTTAAAGTGGCCAACTGTGCTGACCCCGCTAACAGCTTCAAGCGCGAAGCCCAAGTGCTGTCGGCGCTGAAGGGGGCTGGCGGCGCGCCCCTCCTACTGGGGGTGTCCCACGACTCCCCAGCTCTTCTCACGACATATAAAGGGGACACCAACCTGGACAACGTTATATGCGACCCACGATACGACGTAGTGCAGATTGGGTTCAAGATTGGACTAAAATTACTACATATCCACACAAAAGGCTATATCCACAATGATATAAAACCGGATAATGTTATGATTTAAGGATCACACGATCACCCAAAAATTAGCCTAATCGATTTCGGCTTGTCATGTAAGAGTGGTAAAACGATCATTGCGGAAGGTGACCCCGAGGATAAACCGACCTACGCCCCTGAAGTCCTGGCTGGTGAACCCAGCACCTTCGCCTCAGACGTGTTCCAATACGGGCGTCTGATGCAGGAGATCCTGGAGGTGACAGGTACCAAACATCCGGCACTAGTGAACTTGTTCCAGGAAGCGACACTGTCCAACCAAGACTGGCGGCCGTCCCTACCCAACCTGCTCCACCGCCTACAGGACCACATCAGAGACACCACCACGGACTCCACCTACCACCGAGACCGCAAGAGGATTGATCGGTATGAAGCAAAGTGCGCCAAGTGGAGGCTTGAGAGTGGCGGACTGAGGATGCCTAAGGAGCAGGTTATGAGGGACAAGGCACGGACGGAGGACTATTTGCTCAGTATAAGGGAGTTCCATGGTATGCTCGCCCTGTGAGAAGGATATGTATGGTATCCCCGCCCTGTGAGAAGGATATGTATGGTATCCCCGCCCTGTGAGAAGGATATGTATGGTATCCTCGTCCTGTGAGAAGGAAGTTTTTCAAAACATCACTAAGTTTAAATTAAAAGAGGGCTTCTTTTTTCTACATTTATTTAAATTTTTACTTTAATCTTATTGTAATTTTGTACAAGAATCTTTATTGTCAATTGTATATAAAAACCTTCGCTGTACATTTATTTTTGTAAATAAATTGTTATTAATATGTGTGTGTGTGTGTGTGTGTGTTGATAATTGTTTAATATTGTAATTTTGAGAGAGAGACGACCATCCACAGAGCCACACACTACTTGATAATGGTCTAGAACGGACCTAAACGTGGTCGTCTTCTGGTGTGTGTGTGGTCATCATATCTTCAGCCCCGTTATTGTGACTCATCGTCTGCGTACTCATGAAAGAGTCAAGCGATCCCTCGACTGTTTCAATTTTAGTCCAGGAGCACCTCGAGTTGTTTTTAAGGATGGTGTGTGAGGATGGTGTGTGAGGATGTGTGTGAGGATGGTGTTTGAGGATGGTGTGTGAGGATGGTGTGTGGGGATGGTGTGTGGGGATGGTGTGTGGGGATGGTGTGTGGGGATGGTGTGTGGGGATGGTGTGTGGGGTGGTGTGTGGGGATGGGGTGTGAGGATGATGTGTGAGGATGGTGTGTGAGGATGGTGTGTGAGGATGGTGTGTGAGGATGCATGGACAAGAACACTAACATCTTTGTCATTAACCTTTGCTATAAAATCTCTGGCCTATACCTACTTGACTCACCAGTAAACACAAACGTTTCAACAGGATCAACGACACTGGCAGAGGGTCGTGTAATAGTTTACTTGGTAGTTAGTTTCAACTGCATTACATCAAAGACAAAGAAGCCACAGCTTTGCTGTGTAACACTGGGGGGGGGTTATCAGCTCTGCTCCGTCCTTACCTCTACCCGTATCTACCGTAGAGCTACTACTCTAAGCCGAAGCCCACGCCACGTGGTCTTAAGCCGTGTGACCGGCTAGGATTCTACAGCCTGACGATGTGGCACTAGATTTCTAGAAAACTCGTGGATCTCCCTTACGCCGCCACCACCAGACCATTAACACGGAGCAATAACCGGGGCCTGGACCGATTATGCTCTCAAAAAGCCTTGGGGCTTGATCCCCAGTTATTTGGAATAGGAGGGAAGAATCTACGTTAAGTGTGGTAAATTAAAACAAACAAAGGGATAGCTGAACTCTTAATTGTTGTTGGGCTGGCGGCCCAACTAGACTCAGACTCGTGGGGACCACGTGTCAAGGACAATGAGACAATGGAAAACATGAAATTGAAATAATAAAAATGCAAATTACTAACTAAATAATTTATTCAAAATCTAAAACAAAATCTAAATCAAAGCACTCCATATACTTAACACTCCCTGACTTAGGCATGAGATGAACTAATTTCCTGTACAAAACTACAGCAGACTCTACCTTTGACCGCAACTAGCTAGATGTAATGCTGATCTATATAGGGAGAGGGTGAGAGTGGAGGACTTCCCTCAGTTGATGACCAGTCCACACTGAATTCTCCTCCCTCTCCTCACCACAAGGTTGGAGGGGGGGGGGGGGTATTCCTGCGTCAGGTTCACTAAGTTTACTAACAGGGTTTAAGTTGAACAACTAATCTCTGTTGCACTGAACCCCCCAGATGGTTGACCTCTTTTAAACTGAAGGTAATTGCACAGGCATCTTAGGAAAAAGCTATTTCCAATTACAAAATGGCTATTTGACCCTTGAGAATTACCAAAATATGGAAGGCTTTGGTGACCCCTATGTCCTAGGGTCGCACAAATCGCTCCGCGACCGAGGCTAGTCCTGGCTAGTGACGTCACTGATGGTGACTTACTAAAGTATTCCGACAATTGAGGATACTCTTGATACTTTAAACAGAATACTATTGAATACAATTTGAACGAAGACTTGAATTTCTCTAAATTACCGAATTCTTTAAAATTATTCATTATATGTTGTTTTAAGACAACGGTGGCGGCCATTTTGTGACCTAAGCCCTTATCCCAGATGCCTCGTGCTTCCAGAGTCAGGTCAACTACCCCTTGACACCAAACTTTCCAAACCCCCGTAATCTATGAGAAACCATACTGAATAATTCCTACAACAAACCTAGTTTGTTACTGCTGGAGGCAGCAATAACCCCCAGTGATCGGGCACACCTCACAGCTGTGCAGGCTCCCCATGCAGGGGACTTCCTTTTGGCAGTCCCTATGTCTGCGACAGGCACACATCTTGATCCACAGGAGCTCCGTATTGCAGTCGCTCTCCGCCTTGCTGCCCCTATCAACACTGTTCATAGGTGTATTTGCGGCGAGGCAGATGCTGAAGAATATGGATTGCATGGCCTGCACTGTGGAAAATCTGGTGGTTGGCACACTAGACACGACGAAGTCAATGACATCATTAAAAGAAGCCTTGCCTCTGCTCAGTGTCCAGTAGAGAGAGAGCCCTGCAACCTACTGAACCGTGACTGTTAGCTTTGCCGGCCGACCAGATGGAATCACACTGCGCCTGTGGAAGGGTGGCAGACAGTTGGCATGGGACTATACTTGCGTATCCACCCTGGCAACCACATACATCAACCTCTCTGCCGGCCAAGCAGGAGCCGCGGCGACACACACAGAAAGACACAAGTCAGCCAAGTACAGTCAATTAGATCATCGGTACAACTTTGTTCCAATAGGGTCTGAGACCCTAGGTCCATGGGGAGAGAGTGCAAGAAGGTTTCTTAAGGATCCTGGTTCCAAGCTCATTGACACTACAAGAGACCCTAGAGCAGCAAGTTTTCTCTTTCAGCGCCTCAGTGTTGCAATCCAGAGGGGGAATGCCCGCTGCATCCTCGGTTCCTGCCCGGCGTTGGAGGAGTTCGAGGAAATCTACAGCCTCTAGGAAGCGAACTTTTTCTTGTGTCCTCTTAATGTTAATTTTTTTTTTATAAAATCAGATATGTAACTGTATAACCTTGCATAATAAAGTGTACACCATAAAAAGGGGGGGGGGGGGGTAGGAGAAGCGAATACTCATACTTATTCAGAGTTAAATGACAAGTTTTTTCTGAATGCTTTGTGTTCCCTTCTTTGAGGCTGGTAGACAAATGAGGATGGTAGCCGAGGTTAATTCCCCATACCCCCGCCGGCACTCTGATGGTAATCTTGGGCATGGTATTTTATCAAATCACTTCATTCTTTGGGGCACACGTGAGGAACACAAATGCGAACAAGCCTGAACGGTCTTCAGGCATATATGCAACTGAAAACTCAGTTATATATATATTTTTTTTTTTACCAAAAAGGGGTACCACCTCTGCTGCAAGTGTAGGGACCCATAGCCTCGAAGAAGAAAATAATGAGTACTCAGAGAAGACCTTGTGGATCCTCACTGAACACTTTGATATTTTCTTCCCCTACCACCCCTATTCTTTTAGTTTGTGTGTATATATATATCTAACTTTATTTTAAAATTTCATTACACAAAAAGGGTTACAACACTGGTTACATGCAAGGCACAAAACTACCTGTCACAAGTTGTACAGCTCCTCAGATGGCGGGCAGGAATCATGGATGCAGTGAGCATTTCCTCTCTGGATCGCCACACTAAGGCGCTGAAAGAGAAAACTGGCAGCTCTAGGGTCTCTAGTTGTTTCAATTAGCTTGGACCCCAAGCTAATTATATATATATATATATATATATATATATATATATATATATATATATATATATATATATATATATATATATATATATATATATATATATATATATATATATATATATATATATATATATATATATATATATATATAATATATATACATATAAATGGGTATATATATATATATATATATATATATATATATATATATATATATATATATATATATATATATATATATATATATATATATATATATATATATATATATATATATATATATAATATGCAATTAACGATCACAAAACACTGATCATTTTATGCGGAAAATCCACAGAGAAATATGAAATGAGGTGAACGTTTCGGCTTGTTAAAGCCTTTGTCAACACCAGACTGACTAGAGGAGAAGGGAGAAGGGGGAGGATATACAGACCGACACCTGACCAACCCATCCCTAGGGAAAGAATTAACCAGAAACAGGTATAGCTTAGCTTAGAATGGTCCAAGAGGATTAAGCGGTCAGAGAATAAGGATGAAAGATTAAAGAAAAGCCTCATGAACACACAATATATGAATATAAAATTATAAGGAGACATTGTAAGCCTCTCTATCAGAGTTTTTTCTTAAACTGTTGTGCAATATTATAACTTAAAAATGGATCAAGTTTGTACATTCCAGTACTAACATTAAGAAGATTTGGACACTGACTGATTAGAGCAGACTCAATTAAATTCCGTTCCACGAAATTCACACAATTGGTA